GGTTCACTCCACGGTCGTCGAGTCTGGGATTACCATCCCATGCTTGGAGAATCCTGCTCCGCTGGAACAGCACCAGCCGCTTTTGTTCCTGGCGGCCCATGCCGAAGCTTCCGAAGCAGACCACGGCGAGCCAGAGCCATCAGAGGCCGAGCCTAAAGCCAAAGCCAAGGCCAAGGCCAAGGCCAAAGAGCAGTCTGAGCCTCCTTCAAAGAGGGCCAAGAAGTGAAGAGCTTTTGCAGCCCCAAGGGAGCGGGCTCCACTTTAAAGACCCAAAGACCATGGCGGGTTTTGAAGCCAGCCGCCAGAGTTTTGCTGGAGAAGAAAGGTTCGCAAAGGTGTTTCCCGAAAGGGCAGGGGTGCATTGTTGCATGCATGTGCCATGTGGCTTTTCCATGAATGGACAGCATGCATGAATTGTGCGATGTTTGGTATAATTCTTCTTCGTCCATGCACAGCAGCTGTTTGCCAGACAAGGCCAGAGGCTGTCCACAGCAATCCATCTTGGAGCTTGCACCTGCAGCCGCCCCTGAGCCATGCGAAACTCCAGGCTGCCAGCGGTTTGCCAACTTGGGCCAAACCAACTGCTGCAGGAAGTGCAGCCAAGGTGGCAGCCATTCCAGCAGATGCTCGGCCAGGCAGGACCACTTTGCGGGCAAAAGGACCAGCGGCACCACCGGCATAACCGGCACTCCTCTCCGCTTGAACCCAAAGTGGGTGCCCATGTGGTTCGGTGCCAGCCTCCGGGTGCGGACCTTTCTCCTCCATGCCCACGAGACCATGGAGGAGTTCCAAGTGTCCATGGAGCCATCCACAGCATCCACGTCCTTCCAAAACTGGCTTCGAGCTCAATTGGTGGCTGTGCATGAAGCCACCCATGGTGACCAAGGCTCCAATGCTGATCTCACCAGAATAATCAAAGAGCTTCTGCACCAGCCATGAGCATGCCTGGACGGTGTGAAAACATGTGCTTGCAGGCATATACACATGTGTATATATATATATATATATGTATATAAGCAGCTGTTTTATGAATGTATTTTTTCTGCAACCGTGTAGAAATTTCTATAGATGTACATGTATATGATATATACCTGTGTATACATATGTTTGTGTAAATGTTGCATCTCTGAAGTTTTGCTACAGAGTGCCAATGTGGCCACTATATGTCCATAAATACAGGCTATGCATGTATGTTATATATATATACATACATGTTTATACTTATACATACACATACAGATTTATGTACATATCCCTATCTGTACTGCCAGAGTGGCTTGCATCTTCTATGTATGTAGATATATATATATATATATATATATATCGGCCGATGTGGCTTGCACCATTTCTTTCTTAATTTGCCAATGTGGCCGGTTCGCTTTGCAGAGAGAGAGAGAGAGAGAGAGAGAGAGAGAGAGAGAGAGAGAGAGAGAGAGAGAGAGAGAGAGAGAGAGAGAGAGAGAGAGAGAGAGAGAGAGAGAGAGAGAGAGAGAGAGAGAGAGAGAGAGAGAGAGGAGAGAGAGGAGAGAGAGAGAGAGAGAGAGAGAGAGAGAGAGAGAGAGAGAGAGAGAGAGAGAGAGAGAGAGAGAGAGAGAGACAGAGAGAGAATAGAGACAGTCAACGAGACCTTGCATGAGATTCTTGAATGGTGTGCGGATGCTGCAGCCATTCTTGCCAAGTGTTGGCCTGCCCCATAGCGCTCCCAAGCCACCAGCCCTCCAAGATGGCCCCGAAGGCCGGTGCAGGGTCTCCATTTGGGTCCTGCTTTAGATATCTAAAGGGCACATAACGACCCTGCAGGCACAAGCCATGAAGGCCCAGCAGGACTCCAAGGCCACGGTCTCCAAGCAGAACATGAAGAAGCCGGCCGCCAGCAAGACCACGGAGAAGCCAGTTTTGCCAGCCGGCAGCAAGACCACGGTGGAGCCAGAGGCCATGGACCCCATGGAGGACACTTTGGGCATGACCAAGGCCCAGCTGCAGGCCATGTTTGGCCCAGGCTTCGAGCCAAACTTCGAGGAGCCAATTGGGGGCCATTTGGCACTCCATTGCTCCAAACCAGGCTGCAGCAGCTGGGTGTGGTGCCACAAATTGTACCAGCGGAAGGTTTGCGTGCAATGCGGGCAAGTCTGGCTTCGGTCGTTTGTCGACCATGGATGCCGGCTCCAATGGCATGACTGACAAATTGTACCAGCGGAAGGTTTGCGTGCAATGCGGGCAAGTCTGGCTTCGGTCGTTTGTCGACCATGGATGCCGGCTCCAATGGCATGACTGACCACTTGGACCATGATGGCTTGGTGGAGTGAAAAAGAGAAGTTGCAAGCCTTTATTTGTCAAAAGGCCCGTAGCCTATATGTCACCCCTTAAGCCTCCAAGCCTATCTCGGCCCAAGGCTCCAAGCATACAGGGTTTCGCCTTTGATGGCTCGTTATTTCGCTAGGAGCACATGACATGTTTCTAGATGTCAATATATATATATATATATATATATCTATAGGATACATACATATATGTGGTCAGAAGGCCCGTATCCTAGATGTCATCCCACAAAGCCTCCAAGCCTATCTAGGACCAAGGCTCCAGGTTTCCAGAGTCCCTGCTATAGTTTCGCCTTTCATGGCTCGCTTTTTCGGTAGGTGCACTTTACATGTTTCTATATATGTCTTGCTATATATATATATATATATATATATGTATATATATAGTGACATGTAGGTATTTCTTTATATAAACAACTAATTTTCCTACAGATTTTGATATATAGAGAATTATGTATATATACTGGCAAAGCTGTAGACACAAAGTATGTCTAGTCACAAACACAGTTTAGAATTGTTGATCCTGCCACTGTGCTGCAGCCTTTCGTGCTCCAGCACACTTTTGCCATCCACGGCCAGCTTTGCTTTTGCATTTTGCACCATAATGTCCGGTGCCGCTCCCAAAAGCAATGCCAAGGCAGCCATGCCCACGGCAGCCTCCACAGCCTCCACGGAGGCAGCGGTCCCCACGGCAGCTCCAGCCAAGGCCCCTCCGGCCAAGGCCCCTCCGGTGCTTGGGCCATGGGTGGCACCCATGCCAAATCCAGCGGTTGCACCATTGGTGCTTGCAAGGCCATTGGTGCCAGCCAACCAGGTGACGGCCCTCACCATGGCCTGCGGGTGGTACGTCCCACCCACTGCGGTTGTCCAGAACCCAACTGCACACCATGCCACGGCGAGGTTCACCAACCAGCGGCCCAACTTCAACTATCCAGAGCCCACCCACTGGATCTGGGTGGAGTGCACCAGGTGCCAGGCGGCCATGGTGTCACTCCGTGACATCCACCAGGCCAGATCCTGCATCCGCTGTGGCCACTCTTGGTTCCAGTCCATTTTTGGTGGGCTGCGGATCTATGAGCCACGGCAGGACCAGGGCCACTTCGACCAGGACGACCACGAGGACCAGGAGGGCCAGGATCCATGGGCTGCAGAAGGCGAGGGCCAAACGGACCACGAGAGCGACCATGATGACGAGGCCTTTCCGTCTCCAAATTGGCCAGACTGGGCAGTCATGGATTTTCTGAATGCCCTGCAGGAGCCCCACGAGCCCCAGAACCAGCAGCCCATGGAGCAGCCCACGGAGGAGCCCACGGAGGAGGCCACGGAGGAGCCCACGGACGAGCCCACGGAGTCCCAAGACCATGCAGGACCATCGCATAGCAGCATGTTCTGCTTGCCTTTGTTGTGTGACCTGGCATGCAGGACCAGCGGCCTAAAGGCACCATGCATGGTCTTCCATGGAGCGAGCGGCCAGGGCACCATGGATCTTCCATTGCATCTTCCATGCGATGACAAAAAATTCGCAAAGGATCTCAGGTTTCGATGGTTGGAGATATTATAGATAGAAATCTATTGAAGTTAAGGTATATAGGGTTTAAATATATAATATATAATGGGGTTTATAAGTATAGGGGTTTATAGGGTTTCTATAGGGTTGAGTGCTTATAGGGTTTAATAGGGTTTATATAGGGCTGTGTCTTTCTATCTCTAGACATGTAGATATTCATTTTGGGATTATTATAGTCTTTAAGTTTGTATAGGGTTTAGGGTTTGGAGGTTTTAAGTCTTTTTTTAGGTATTAAGGTTTCAAGACATACAGAGACATTGTTTCAGCTGTCCGGGAACATAGGGATTCAAAGTTTCAGTGTAGATCTACATGTATATATACATCCACAGGAATATATATATATATATATATATATATATCATTTTTTATACAGACAGATATATATATATATATATATACAGACTCAGATATATATATATATATATATATATTCTAGTGTATATATACTGCTACTTATACAGATTTGTTGCCAGAATGGCCAGTATACCCATTGCCAGTGTGGCCAGCATGTTCATATTGTTTTACATTCATATGTAGCCACAGCCATCATGGCCAGCTTCTTTAGATTTCTCATCCACACATTGAAAGACAGCCATCGTGGCCAGTTTTTGTTTTATATGGATATAGCCAGCATGGCCAGCAAACTCCAACACCAGTCCCAGCAACCAGTGCAGCACCATAAGCAATGTGAAACCCAGCAGCCCTATAGTGCAGGCATCTCCTGTCCGAGTGCCAGTGTGAGCTGGTAGCAGACCCCAGTCGCAGGCACATGTGCATCACATAATGTTGTAATCCGAGCCCGTTCTCTCCAGCGGTTCAGTCGAGTCGCAAGCACCAAACAAGCCTCACCCAGACCATGCGAGCAGAATGAGTAGATGGAAACTTACAAGCAGTGTTCAACAAACAATGGTTGCATTCAGGATTGCATCAACAATCCTAAGTACAAGAGTTTTGCACTTAGGATTGCAATTACAATCCTAAGTGCAGAATTTCTGCACTTAGGATTGCAATTACAATCCTAAGTGCAAAATTTCTGCACTTAGGATTGCAATTACAATCCTAAGTGTACTAAGCCATTGTTTGGCGTTTTCCATTTCTCCACGTGGCCCGCAGCCATGGATGATGGCGACAGGACTGTGGTGCCGACGACACCGAGTCCAGAGTACGATCCTCACAGCCCTGCGATGAGTGAAGTCTCCCGTGAGACAGTGGTGCCGGAGAGGTCCACAGCCAAGGCACGGACCCAGGTCTTCGCATGGCCGACACCACCAGATTGGGTGAACCTACAGGCTGCTGCCCAACAAGCAGCGGTGCTGGGCCGAATGGGACCAGTGCTGGGACAGTTTGGGCCGACAGCACCACTGGTGCCTCCAACACCACCCTTGGTGCCTCCAACAGCACCATTGCTGGCTCCGACAGCACCATTGGTGCGTCCGACAGCACCATTCCTGACTCCTCCAAGAGCAGCATGGCTGCCTTCAGTTGGACCAATGGTGCCCCCAGTGGCACCATGCCTGCCTTCAGCAGCACCACTGCTGCAACCGATGGTGCCTCCAGCGGCAGCATTTCCTCCAGCTGAATGGGTCCATGGTTGGCAGCCAGAGGCAACCACACACAGCATGGAGGTAACATTCGGAGGCAGGGGACCCAGTCAGCCACAACAACCCCCAGCAGAGGCCGCAGCAAGACCAGCACAGCAGGCAGCACCACCAACAGAACAACAAGGCCCTGAGGCCCAAGGGAAGGAACAGCAACAACCACCATCCCAAGCAGCCGGGCCAACAACACAGCAGCAGCCACGGCAGCAGCCACCCACAGCAGAGCAACAGCCACAGCAGCAGCAACGTCCCTGGCGGCGACAACAAGCACCACAGCCAGCACCACCAAAGTCAGCAGCGGAAGCGGCGAGGCCACCAAAGGAACCAGCAAAGTCAGCGGCGAGGCCACCAATGGAACCCACTCGACCAGTGGGCCCAATCAGCAAAGCCAACGTTATGAAGGGCAAAGGCAAAGGCAAAGAATCCAACATCCCGGCCGCATTCCGAAAGCAAGCATTGGGCCACACACCCATGGTCGTTCCGCCACCGAAGCAAACACCAGAGCCGGCCACCTCCTCCCACGAGCCATGGGCTTTCCAAGGACCGCCGCCCAAGCTGCAGCCACGAGAACCAGACTACCCACCACCTGGATTCCGGCCAAAGCAAGTGGGAAAAGAACCACCAAAGGCCAGGCGACCCACTGCTGCTGCACCAGCCGGTGCCATGCCAGATGTGCCACACCGACACACAGGCTGGAAACACAAAGCATGTTGGCTGTTGACCAGATACAGCCAAGAAGATTGGAGAGGGGTCCAGGAGCTGTGCAGCAGCTTCCAAAAGGAGCTCCATGACCACGAACCAGTGCTGTGGCTGGACGGGAAACCAACGTGGGCCAGGAAGGTCCAATGGTTCATTGACCATTGGACCCAGGGCGACTATGCTCGCTGCCACAGACTCTACCAGTGGCACCATGGACCTGATTGTTTAGGTTTTCCAGAAACCATATAGTTCCGAATCTTTTCTAAAGCATTGCTGAGATAAATATGGATCGGAAAGCCATAAATAAGCTAAGCCCCAGATAAGCTTTCTTTGAAAGGAGTTTGAAACAATAGTCCAAGTTCGTTTTTTCGACCGACACAACCGCTGTCCATTAAGGTTCAGCACGGAGTCCCAGATGGCCCAGTACTTGGCTGAGCATGCCATGGTGGTGGAGGAGCACGGCCATGACCCACTGCAGCCAGACCGCTTCAGGCAGCACCAGTAAAGCACCAGAGGTCCGTGCATGCACCATGTCCATGTCATGTATTCGCCAGTTTTGTGGCCAGCACACTTCGCCATTTTTTGTGGCCAGCACAGTTCGCCATTTTTGTGGCCAGCACAGTAACTATACAGAAAGAATCAAACTTATTGGTTGTTTTTGTTTTCTTGCTCTCTCTATATATATGTATAAATATATATATATATATATACACACACATATATGTTTATATCTATCTATATATATATATATATGTGTTTCTTGTTTCTGTGTATAGGCTGCATACATGTATATGTGTCTATATGTACGTATGTGTGTGTGTATATATACACATACATACATATATTTGTTTCATTATACACACCTATATATCCAGTTACATACAATCACTGTGCTTATATATATATATATATATATAAGCAAACGTATAGATGGTGATAAAGCCACATGGCTAGCCACTGGGTTTTTTCCTTTCCATATAGAGTCTTCTACATAATATATAATTACTTAGATATCTATATATATATATATATGTGTATCTGTCTGTTTATCTACATATGTACATATTTATACATACATACATTCATTTAATTGAAGTATATAACTTATATATATATATATATATATATATATACATTCTTTCTGTTGGCTAGCCAAGAAAGCTGGATACTGTATATGTTTGACATGGTATCTGTACATGGGTGTGTGTGTGTCTTTTCTTCTTCATCTAAACTCTCACGAACTTCATGTTGTTTTGGCAGAAATCCAGACAACTTTGGCTTGCATGATGTCTCCTTCCAGAATCAACAATCGCTGTGTTCTATATTCTGTACTGTTTTCTGTTGTTGTCCATACATAAAGAGACACAGACATATATTTTATGTGTATATACATATATAGATATGCATATCTGTCTTTACATATACATGTCTTCTGTGTGTCCTAATGTATCTATAGGATGTGCCTTTCAACGTGCCGCTATAGATTGCTTGAGATGTGCTTTCTCTGCCATCCTCGCAGCCACCTTGGCCTGCATTCCAATTTGTTTTAGGACCACACTTGTGCCGGCATGTCCCAAGTGTGGAGCATTTCTGACTTTTTGTCTGAACTTCGCCATCTGGGCCAGCTCACTAAGATGCGGCCAGGGAGCCTGGTCGTCACTACCATGGCGACCACATTCGTGGAAAGGATCCGTGCGGCCAAGAATGGGACATCGGCAGGCATCATCCAATTGATCGGTGAAGTCCAAAGCATGGAGCTGCCAGATGCCATAAAGGAGAGCATCCAGGAGGCCGTTGAGACATGCCAGACCAACGAAGCCTCCCACATCAAGCTCTCCAGTTGCGGCCAGAAGATAGCCCATGTGCCAGCATACTTGACCACGGCGGATTGGCAGGCTCTCGAATCTGCCGTATCCAAGGATGACCAGATGTCTGTCATGGCCAAAAGGCTCCGAGCAATGGGCCTTACCTCCCTGAAGGAGAACACGGTGCACCAGGTGCTCGCCACCCTGCTCTACGTCAACCACAGCCGAGGCCAACCACAGATGCAGCCGAGTGCCATACATTCCATGGTAGACGACTTCCAGGCCATATTCCACGGCACGGCCAAGATTGAGGCTGTGCCCAAACTGGCCACTTACTCGGAGGATCCTCTCCAGAATGGCGAGGCCTGGCTGAGCCAAGCATACACGAATGGCTGCAGTCCAGCCAAGAAGGTGCTTCCTCTGCATGCTTGGTACAGGAAGGTGCCCATGAGGAAGAACCATCATTTGCTGGTTGGCTATCATGTGCCGGCGGAGTCCAAGAAGGCACATGGAAGCCATGACCATCTGGCCAAAGCTGCCCAGATGCTTTCCCAATTGGCAGAACGGTGGGCTTCACCACCTGCAGAGCCAGAGATTAAATTCTTGCAGCCTCGCCAGGACCGGCTGGCTCTGCAGAACCTGCCAACACCGCAGCAGCAACCATCGCAGCTTGCACTTCTGCCGGTGCAGAACGAGCAGAACCAAGCGGTCAGCAGCAGCCGCTGCAGCAGCAGCCGCTGCAGCAGCAGCAGCCGCTGCAGCAGCAGCAGCCGTTGCAGCAGCCAGTGCAGCTGCAGCAGCCCTCGCAGCAGCCACTGCAACTGCAGCAGCCCTCGCCCCAGCCACTGCAGCTGCAGCAGCCGTCGCAGCAAACAGCACTGCAGCAGACTTCTGCTACGGCCCATGATGAGGCGGGCAGCCAAGCAGCAGTGCCGCCGGATCCCATGCTCGCCACAGCCGAGCCAGACATGTGTACGGAGAAGCCCTGCAATTCCAAGCCAAAGACTTTGCAGGAGTTTGAGGACCAGCACTTCGAGGAACTCAGGAAGAGGAAGCTTGAGGCCAAAGAGAAGGCCGTGCCAAAGGCAAAAGCCAAAGCGAAGGCCAAAGCCAAGGCCAAGGCCAATCCCAAGGCTAAGCCCAATCCCAAGGCTAAGGCCAAGGCCAAGGCCACCCCCAAGGCAAAGGCGAACCAAGCGAAGCCAGTGGCCAAGAACCAGGACCACCTGCCGCCGCACAAGCGGGATCCACCGATTTTCGGGTGCCCCAAATGTCGAGGGAATCCAAGCGGTTGTGGGCAGTGCCTGAGCCCAACGTACACAGGCCTGCGGCTCCCAGGCCGAGAAGCCTATCGGGCCCATATGCCCCGAAAGGCCAGGATGGCCAAGTGAGCTCCAGGGCCATGGCGGGGAGACCTCCCGTGTCACCATAATTGGCCATTTTGGCTGACCAGATCCGTTGGCTTAACCACGGGGCCTTGCATTGGGGCAAAAGTTTCTCGCAAGTTGTTTGCTTTGCATGCTCGTCTCTCTCTCTCTCTCTCTCTCTCTCTCTCTCTCTCTCTCTCTCTCTCTCTCTCTCTCTCTCTCTCTCTCTCTCTCTCTCTCTCTCTCTCTCTCTCTCTCTCTCTCTCTCTCTCTTTCTCTCTCTCTCGCTGTCGTCTCCGTGTAGAGATACACAGACACACACACACACACACACACGTATATATATATATATATATATATATATATATAGAGAAATGGTGTATACAATGGTTTATGTCGCATATATAATAAGGTTCTATTTCTCCAATTACTTTCGCTTTTCATTCAATAACTGAAAAATATATGCCTATATACATGCAATAAATATACATATTTATATGTATATATATATACATATATGTATATATAGTCTTATTTGCATATATATATATATATATACTTTTATATCTATACATATATATATATATATATATATATATCATGTGCGAGCATGAATTTGACGTCTGTGGACGGTCAATTTCTTCTTGTAGCTGGAATATATGTATTTCTCTTGAGGTATGATACTGCAAGAATCATATATTCCTGACAAAGGGCCTCTATATGGCATGCAGGGTTTCTTTTTGGCGACATAGCAATCGGTGAGTGCCCTTTCCATTTCTGTCCTGCCATCTCTGAGAATGCATGACTTCTGTCCGTGAAGCTTGTTGCTCCAAACAAGAAGTACCAGCAGAGGCAATGCATGCAGGACTAGTTTGAACATGGTGCCCCGAGCTCCCCTCTGCAAAACCGTGCATATATATATATATATATGCTTGTCGATGGAACGTTTCCCGTTGATTACGTGCAGACCAGATGGATGCAGACAGCTCAGATACATCGAAATATCTTAAAGTATGTGTTTACATATATATATATATAAGAAGTTCGGATCCATCATTTGTAAACCAAGTAGGCACTGTCCGAAGCCCTGGGTGACCATGGAGCCTTCCAAAAAGAAAGCCAAACTTCAACACCTTCTGACGTTCAAGGCCAGCCTGCCAGGCCATTCCCAAAGTGCTTTGGCGGGCTTCGTCAAAGCAGCCAAAGAGCAGGGCCTCCCGGAAGCCAGTTCTTCCAACGACCAGCGAAAGGCACGGCAACAGCTTCTTGAAAGCTGTGATGGCGGCCCCCTGGGACCATTGATCCAGCAGGCAGAACTGCCCATGAGCGACGGTGCCACAGTGACCATCCATTTTGCCAACCTTCTGGTCTATATCACCAGTCTTTTCGCCATGGGGGGCAGCTTCCATGATCTGCTCCAAAGGAAGCATGCGGCCAATCCCTCGTCGCTGGACCAGCCCTGGTCCTTGATCTTGTATTGCGACGAGGTGATCCCTGGCAATGTTCTTGGTCGTGCTGAACGCAAGCTATGGGCCATTTACGCCACATTCCTCCAGCTAGGCCAAGAAGCCATGGGCCACGAAGACATGTGGCTGACCATCAGCCTAGAAAGATCCACCTTCGTGGCCCAATTGCCAGGTGGCATAGGCCAGGTGTTCGCCAAGATTCTGGAAGCCATCTTTTGCTGCCCCATGGCTGAACCATGTGGAGGCCTGCTCTTGAAAAGTCCACATGGGCCCATGGGCAACATCCGCCTCCATTTCAATTGGGGTATATGCCTCGCTGATGGGGCTGCCCAGAAGCAGATCTGGTCTTCCAAAGGCGACGCTGGTACCCGATTTTGCATGTTATGCGCAAACATCCACTCAGCAGCCACCATGGCTGCAGGCCAGGATGTCATTGACCATGCGACGACCAAATACCACCAACTGCGCTTGACAACCGACACTGAGGTCATCCAGTCCTACCATCGTTTGGACCAAAGGCAGCAAACATGCACCAAGGCGGATTTCCAGCACTGGCAGCAGGCCGCAGGGTGGACGTGGAATGCCCATGCCCTCCTCTTGAACCAGCCGCTGTTGTCCAGAGGCCACATTCGACCAGTGAGCCAGTTTTGCCACGATTGGATGCATGGGATCTTGCAAGGCACTGGCCCTGTCGTCCTCTTCCAGACCATGGAGACCATTGGCATGGCAATGGGTTTCAATGCTTGGGATTCCATGGAAAAGTACATCCAGCTCTGGTCCTGTCCAGGGGCTTCCAAAGCAGGGCACCTGAAAGCTTTGTTTTCCTCCAGGATGGTGAGCAAACACCAGGCAAGTTATAAGTTTTCCTGCCAGGCCAGCGACCTCTTGAGTATATTCCCCATTGTGCGGCATTATCTCCACACCATGGTTATGCCGGTGGGCGGCTGCCCCATTAAGGCCTGCGAGGCATTCTTGGCCCATGCAGACCTGCTCGACCAGGTGCACCAAGGAACCATGTATGGGGCCACTACCAGGGCAAGCCTACTACCAGCTGCTGAGTTGGCCATCCAGAGTTTCGTGGAAGCCAACTTCGGAGTTTCCTTAATAAAGAAGTGGCACTGGCTTCTGCACCTGCCTGATTTCTTGGAGAGGTATGGGATGTTGCCAAGCACTTTCACCACTGAGCGCAAGCACAAAACCATTGCCAAGTATGCCACCAACTTGCAGAAGACCACGGCTTTCGAAAGCCATTTGATGCAGCAGGTCGTGGCCATGGAGATCACCACTTTGAAGGAGCCAGGTCTGCACCCGGACACCTGCCAGCTGCTGAAGCCAAAGAAAGCTACCAAGCAGCAAGTCCAAGTCCTCCGCGACTTCGTGGATGGCCCATTGAACGAAGCCATGGTTGCTTCGAGTGCGAAGCTTGCCAAAGGTGGCACCATTCATGCCCACGATGTGGTTGTCTTCCAGCAGCAAGACGGACGTTGGGAAGTCGGCCAAGTTTGGTTCCACTTGGAAGTGGGTGCTCAACAGGTCACACTTCTCCAGCGGTGGACTCCCACGGTGAACAAAGCATCCCACTCTGCGAAATGCACCATCGCGAACGAGCAAGGCTTCGTTCCCATCGACTCCATCCAGTACCCACTGCTGTATAGTAAAGCCTCAGACCAAGAGGCCACGGTGCTCATCCCGTACCAGCTCAACTGCAGGCTGTAAAACATCCATGCTTCACCTATTCAGTGCAGGTTTGGGTTTCGCCCTGATCATCGTGCCTACCTAGAGATTTGGACTTCCAAAGGGGGGTTTAGGGTTCGTTTTCATGCATGGTTTCTATAAGCTTTCAGCTGATGCCTTTCTCATTCTTGTTTTAAAAGGCCCTCTTGCTCACAAGATATCCATGACACCGCCTATATATGGCCAGCTACATATGACATATAACCCATGTGAAAGCCTATATGGCCAGCCGATTTCCACATAGCTCCCATACTTCATGGCTGTTCCATCCCATATATTTAGTGTAAGTCTTTGCCACGAAAGCCACACCCAAAAACAGAGTTATAACTAGTTAGCTAACTCCACCTAACTAGTTATAAAAAATTACTTAACTCATGTTAACCAAGATAACTAGTTATAACACAGCGAGGATTCCAAGTAGGGCTTTAAGGCTTTAAGCAAGGTCATCTTATCCCAGAAAGCTTGAGGATGTTGGAAGATGACTGAGCTGCCGTATGCTCGGGTGGGCGCGCTCTCCATGCACTCCGCGTGGGGCGCCTTGTCGTAAACAATATCGGGCGCCGATATCGCTGTGGGATGCTTTCCTGGTTTCCCCACCCTCTCCCACAAACTCATCTTAAAAACTAAAATACACTTAAGCCTTCAAAGCCCGTACAAATTCCAGTAGTAACCCAAGAAACCCTTGTAAAGCCCTTGTGTATCTAGCCCCTACACAACCCTGCAAAACGCAGTAAACCCTAAGCCCTAACCTCGAACTACTGTTGATGATATAAGTCCTGCATTACCTTAAGGACCCTAAACTACGGGAATTATGGTATATTCCTTATTATGGGTCATGCAGGATTTATATCATCCACCGTAGAACCAACCCCGATCCTGAAACAGCTAGGATTCCGCTTGGGGGATGGCTGGCTCGCTGGTCGAAGCGCTCGCCGGTCTTTGCTCGGCAAGGGACAGTCTCTGCCAGACCTCATCTCATCCCCAGAGGATCACCCTTCCCCGGGCCCACCCTGTTATGTGGTACTTGGAGGGTCGGGGGACGTAGTAAGTATGTAGTAAGTAGACTTATAAGTACCCTAAAAGGGACCCTAATTGGAGTTATGGTACTTATAAGTCCTGAAAATAACCAGTTACTAAGTCCCCCGACCCTCCAAGTAGGTTCTTATAAATTGTTTATCATATCCCCATGACCCTAAGGATCAAAATCGCCCAAAAGACTTACATGGTATGGTCTTTGGGCCCAAAGCCTTAAATATCTGATTTCTTAGATCACTAGGGTAATATAGGGACCCTACAATAAAGTAGACAGTGGTGGGTTAAGGTAAACCCTAAACACACATCAACCCTGAGGTCCTTTAAGGTTTGCTTTAGGGTTTAGGGGTTTAGGGGTTTAGGGGTTTAGGGTTTAGGGGTTTAGGGGTTTAGGGTTTAGGGTTTAGGGGTTTAGGGTTTAGGGTTTAGGGTTTAGGGTTTAGGGGTTTAGGGTTTAGGGTTTAGAGTTTAGGGGTTTAGGGTTTAGGGTTTAGGGTTTAGGGTACTGTATGTGTTAGGTGGGTGATTGTCAAAACTATGGTCCCTTGTTGGGTACCCTGAATATTAGGTGCCGTACTATATTGGGGACCCAAGCAAGAAGGGACCATAATTTTGACAACCACCCAGGTGTATTATAGGGTTGTTGGGGTTTGGGGCTGCTGGCTTATAGGGCTTTAGTTAAGGATTTAGGGTTTAGGGTCTTAGTCTTACGGTTTTTGGGGTGTGCTTGGACTAAACCCTGACACCCTGAACCCCTAAACCCTAAAGCCCCTAGACCCCTAAGCCCTGAAA